AGGTTGCAGACCCCTGACCCAAAGGATCAATCGAGTGTATTCAGGGATTATCTTAACAACATAGGAGGGAGCCAGGCCATTTAAGTTTTTAAAACAATAAGAGTTTTTTTTTATTTATTTATTTATTTATTTATTTTTTTATTTTTTTTCTGTTTGACCAGAACCAGTGGAGAGATTTTAGAACAGAGATGTTCAAACTCATATGTTTCTGTTAGCGTTCTGGCTGCTGCACACTGAATAAACTTAAGTTTTGTAGTGTTTCATTTGTTAATCCTGCATTTGCTGGTATAAGGGCATGTGTTTGTGCTGTGTTCAGGTGTACCATAGTCTGTTCTGGCCTCTGGAGTATACTGTGCCGGGCCGTGACAACAACAAATGCTATGCCAAGATCATCTGCAATAAACTCAACAACGTACGTGTGCTCCTACTTTTCCTGCCAAATCAATTCTGAAGACTAAAGCAGGTTGGACTCCATATTTTAATTGTGTGTTCGCTGATATTCTTCATCAGGATCGAGTTATCGGCTTCCACTACCTGGGTCCAAATGCAGGTGAGGTGACTCAGGGCTTTGGTGCAGCCATGAAATGTGGCCTCACCAAGGAACAGCTGGACGCCACTATTGGCATCCACCCAACTTGTGCTGAGGTAAGTGGGGGACTCCTCATTTCAGTATTTTATTATAATGGCCTTATTTTCAGACCTCTAGACTAGTGCTGGGCGGTATACCGTTTTGTACTGAAAACCAGTTTTTATTTTTGTTATGATATGACTTTTCTGAATAGCGGTGTAAATAGNGCAGCGTCTGTTTAAAACTGCTTTAATAAGACCTCAACAGAAAACAAGCAGGTTTCTGTTTTCCTCATTTTTTAAGATGACTGAATTCTGTCCTGACCACGTTCTGTCTTGGTGAAGGAGAACGTTAAACTCTGTGATCATAGTCTATTTATTCTATATATGGCAAAATAAATAAATAAAACTTTTCTCTTTTTTTTTAATGTTGAAATTCCGACATGGGCAAAATGACGTCTGCCATTGTCATAAATTAAACTTATAAAGTGTCCCATCTGCAAAGGTTACCTTTCCTTTGCAGCTCTGTCCCCTGCAGCTAGTCTGTCTGGTTACAGTAAATGGTAAATAAATGGACTGAACTTGTATAGCACTTTATCAAAGCCCCACAGGGACCCCAGAGTGCTTTACACTACAGACATTCACCCATTCACACTGATTCACACACTGATGGTGGGAAGCTCCATCATAGCCACAGCTGTCCAGGGGCACACTAACAGAGGTGATAGAAGATACACTGTAAAACTGTGTGTTAGCACAGCATCTTTCCTCGGTCATATTCCCCTTAAACCTAATGCCTGCATCATTCCTCAGTTTGATCCATCCATCCATCCATCCATCCATCCATCCATCCATCCATCC